AGTCGCTGTCAAAGGTTGGAAAAAAATTGAAGTGCTTCTGATTTAGTGTCTCCAGTGGGAAAGAGACAAAAACGTACAGTAGTCTTCGAACAGGTCTCGCTAACGCTTTGTCGTAAGTGCACAAGATTCGAGCTGACAAGAACTGAAGCGAGCGTGCCAGAGGTCTAGCTGTGAGGAGTCTGGCACGAAACGTATTCGCGTCAGAACTCACACGCCTCGCACGCTCGCATCGCTCGCTAGCTTGAAACCCGCGGGTCTAGCTGGTCTCGTCTCTCTTGTCGTAGCGCAATAAAAACCTTTTCGCTACGAGAGAGTCGTTCTGGCTGTAACGTCCGACAAACCCAGTAGTATTTTGTCAAAACATCTCGTCCCGTCTTCGCTTTGATTTTCAGTTTTTTTGCTATAACCTATTGTGACAACGGAGAAGGTGGAAAAATTTTGACATTTCTGCGTAACTGTGAGTATTTATTTTAGTTAAATAATAAATTGGTAAGAAGAGAACTGCAACTGAACTTGCCACCTGGTTTTAACGCTTGTAATGACGTAGTTTCGAAAAGTCATTACCCGTAGTTTCTCGGCTATACCGCGAATGGTTTTTTTTAAAGAAAATTCTGTCTTCGGGTGGAAAGTTAGTGCTGAAATTGGGGTGCGTCTTATAGCCAAGTATTTTTGCGCAACAGATCTTGAGATCATACTTTTAGCAGAACTTGCAGTTAAAAAGACAAGAAAAGGACACTAATTGACGGTCATTGACTTTTTTCAGATCTGTTGGTTCTGAAATGAACCGGGGTGGCTCTGAAAAGAGCCATTGTAGTGGTTCTGAAAGGACCGTTTCTTATACGGCCTCGGTGAAATGACCACGAAACGAATCCCAACGAGCAGAGCTTTTTGGTTTGAGGTGTAGCGAAGATTGTGTAGAATCCACTCCTTTATTCCTATGAATTAAAAAGGAATACTGCTTTTAGAACACTTATTAACTTTCATAGAAAAGCAAACAAAACGGAAATTTGCATACGTGCTTAAAACTGCTCCGTAACATGATATTAATGGGAACAAAACAATTGTCCAAGCCTCGTTTCAAATTTCTAGAATCGTGTTTGGGTCGCCCGCTAGGTTAGTTCCTTATCTGAATAAACAATGTGGAGATAAAACCTACCTTCTTCGTCCATCCAGCCTTTTTTGCGCGCTGAAACTTGCATCCACGGCGGCGTGTTGATATTCTGCTGTCGAACACCTTTGAATATAACTTCTGGTGGGAGTTTTTCGCAATTTGCTTTTACCGCCAGAGCAACCGTGAAACTTTCCCAGTTCCATCACACTCTCAATCTTTTGGTGCGTCTTATAACCGAGTATTTTCACGTAATCTTCAGTTTGGGAACTTGGCTTGACTAAGGTGCTAAGTTTGGGATGCGTCTTATAACTGAGTGCGCCTTATAACCAAGAAACTTCTATTACAATGATTAACTCTGATGGTATCCGGACAACTCGCCCCCTGGACAATTAGTCCCAGACGATTGGCCCCCAGTCTTTGGACGATTAGCCCCCTGTATCTGGACTATTAGCCCCCAGTCTCTGGACTATTAGCCTCCAAACCACCATCCTTGAAATAAACTATGCTCTTGGTGTTTACTTTACGAACGTTTCCCTATCATGTATTTTGAAATAAACAATGTTCTTGTTATTTGCTTCTTACGAACGTTTCTCTGCCGTGCGTGTCGAATTATAAAGTATATTTTACAAAAGTGAACTGTGTTCCTTCTGTTTACATATTTTACGAATGTTTCTTCGTCATGTTGTTTATTTCGAGAACTTAAATAGGAAAGGAAAGAAACCAGGAACAAAACTTCGAAACTTTAACTTATTGGCGACTACTTGTTAATGTCAATGGGGGTTTATTTCAAACTCGCCACGCGCATTGTGCGAACTTTTACTGATTATTATTTATTTGTTTATTGAAAACCCATGCGCAATGTGCGAACGTTTACTCATTCTTGTTTGCTTATTTCAAACCCATGCGCAAGGTGCGTAATTTTATTCCTTGTTGTTAATTTCAAAGCCTCGCAAAATGCGCGAACTTTTACTAATTGGTATTTCATTGTTTATTTCAAACCCACGCGCAATGTGCGAACTTCTGTAAATTTGACGTGAGACATTTCATTCATCCCAATTCAGTGCTTACTGTTTTCTTAAATTAACATTTCTCCAATCAAATGGCGTGTTTCGTTCGAAGTAAAAATCTTGATCCTCGGGATGTGTACAAAAGGGATCCTTCAATTGTGGATACTCATATTAGCTTATTCAGCAACAACTGATCACAGCTGCCCCTGTACATCCTGATCCAGGTACTTCATCGGGAAGCTACATTGGTGAACATGCAGATCCGTCTGGTTTCAGACAAAAAGCAGAAGAGACATCAGCGGTCAACCTAACGAACAATGTAGATAAGACTCTTCGACCTCTGGATTCAATATGAAGACGGCCAAAGGAACTCAAAAAAACTTCTGGAGGCCTGTGCTCACCTCGTGCAACCCATGTAAATTAAATTAAGTAAAAATTAAGTAAATTTTAGTAAAGATAACCATTCACAAAAAAAAAACCTCCTTTAGGAGCCACAAACTCATTAAAGTCAATGACCAAAAGATAGACGTAACTTCTCCTTTACATTTACTGAGACTGGGGGCTAATCGTCTGGGGCTAATTGTCCAAGGGGCGAATTGTCTGACATTCACTCTGATTATTAATATTCGCACGACCATCATTTACATAAGTATTTGCATAATTTACGAATGAGACCTTCGTATTGAAAATGGCGGCTTACAGATCAATTTCGAACCAGTTGCGATTGGCTGTGAGACGGCCCTAGAAACTGAAAAATATATGCACTGGACTCTTAAACTGCTGCTTAAGTTTGTATCAACAACAACTAGAAAAAAACATTGAATTCTTTGAGTGACTAACCGTCCATGCAAGAGACTAGATTGGCAGGCAAAGGATTCACTAGAGTTAGTGGACCAGCTGTTTTGTGATAAAACGCTTTCGAAGGGATTTGAAAATATTTGAAGATGTCCACCCTGCATCTCGGGATTTGTTCTCAAAGTGTGCCCTCGAAGAGTTCGCTCTAAACTTCAATTCGGGATGGCGGATGTCGGCCAAGTTTTGGTCATTGTTTTGGTTCTTGTGGTCGCCATTGTCATTGGATTTTGTTGCCATTTTGCTTCGTTAAAGCGAAGAGAACAAGAGCGTGCTGCCAATCTTAGCGTACAGCAGCAAGCGGCTGGGACTCATGCGAACCAAACCAGGGGCACAAGTCCCGTATACGTATTTGGATTACAGGGGGCTGCTGGAAATTCTAACTCAACCGCCGCCGCCGCCGCTGCTCGCGAAGAGCCGACGTCGCATTCAGCTGAAGATCAAGTCGAGGAAAGTGTTCCTGTATTCCCGATGAGCCCTGATGCTATTGCAGATTGCGGTCCGCCGTCGTACAGATGTTTAGCAACGGATGAATTGCCTCCACCGAGCTATGAGGAGGCCCTGAGGCTTTCTAATGAGAATTTGGCCGGGACATGACTTAAAATCTCGCATAAACATAAATGAACAGGGGCTACTTGTTTTCAGTTTCGGAAACATTGAGCTAAAGCAGTCCAGTGTCATTTCTACCCCTGTCAAGAACTTACGCATTCACACTATCGAAAAACTTGAAGCGGATTATTTATGCCAATTTTTGCGTATTTTATAGATTTGGGAATATAATCTTTGAACGGGGAAAACCATTCAACGAAGAGAGTATTTTATAACAATTTTATGTTAATATTTATATAGATTGTATGCATGTGGTTGTGAAAAAACAAAGCCAAGATTAGTTTTTACTACGAATTTCAGCCGATTGTGGCGCGACGGAAGTTTGACGTTTTGAACTTAAAATCGTGTTGTTGTCACGGCATCTAGCTCTGTTTCCAGGGGCAATGTGTTTGAATCATTCTCTTAGCAGACTTTCTCGTTTGATGGTAATTTTGGTTCTGTCCACTGAGTTCATGGTGTAAATTGGCCATCGTAAAGTGTTTTATAGCTGACTTTTCGAGCGTTAGTCCTTCGTTACAGTGAATGGATTTCTCGTTTGATGGTTGACGCACGGCATTTTAGATTCGGTAACCATTGGAAACGAGGAAGGTTGCCCGTGAGAAGACCTTTATTTCACGGTCAAAACCTCGACACCAAACTTTGTCCGCGCCACACTCAACTGATGATGGTAGTGACAACTTTCCTCAAAGTGAAAATTTTCGTTACGACTGAAGTCCCGAAGCTGTGTGCGCGATGTGAATGAGACATCACGCAACTCACTTCAGTCACGCAATCTAGCGCGGTACGCTTTGTCCGCTGCTTTTGTCACATCTGGTCTTAGCTGTCGTCGAGTGCTTTGAATTGGAGTAACCGTGGAACGTAACAGTCACGAGTGCTTTGGAAAAAAATATGCCAGAAAACTTCTTGAGACCTGTTTGTAGGAGAAATGAAAGTTTTATCAACACAAGGTTTTGGGAGGAAAATATAAATCTCTCAATTTATCAATCAGTCAGTAGATCAGTCAATCAATCAGACAGCTTGTTAGTCTGTCAGTAAATCCCCGTTTCAGTCTTCGGTCAGTCAGTTATAAGTACTTTTCCTTCAAATTACGATCATCTTTCAGCCGACAGGCATTCTCCGCCACTTGAACCTCCATTTGCAGTTCCAATTCTAAATTTTCGTAAAGATTCAATATCGATTAAGCAACCGCTTTTACTGTACATAAATTAGATCAAGGGTCAGTTAGATTACCATGATATAAGGAAAAATCGCGAGGTACAAATATAGGACTTTTTGTACTTTTATCTACTATGTCATCCCTTCTACGTAAGGGGAATGGAAAGTAAAGCCCCAATTTATCAGATTCTGTCCTCTTTTCTTTTTTTAAGCAACAAAGCATAAAAGGGATTCCTTCCAGTTAAAAAAATGTAAATTACAAGGTGAACGTCAACGCGCCGAGGACTATAAGGAAAACATGTAGATAAGGGTAGCTCTAGATCTGAAGCCAATATTCAAATGCGTAATGACCGAAAATTTCCTGAAAAGTATTCTGAACAGTTAATATTGCTGACGTTCAGTTGAGGGAAGACTTTGAAGCTAACGGAATGAATGCAGAGTGCTATTTTTCCTTAGAGGTATGCTGATATAGACGTACTCAGAAGGTTACATGATAATGAGATCAAAAATTCTATTTTTTCAGATTCTGTACTTCTTCACGCACAAGTATGCGTCTTCAGGGTGTCAGACGGGTATTCCAAGCCATTGTACTGGTGAGTTTCGTTTCAGTGATTATCAAAACAGAGGTTTACATGTTCTTATATCCGTGATTCTTGCCTCAACGTGTGTATCGAAATCGACGATTGTAGTCCACCAAGGACTTACGACTCTTTAGTATTCGTATTCCATCCGGATAAACCGGCCTTCTACTCGAAAAAAATAAGTTTAATTAAGGTTGATTTGTCTGATTTCCCCCATAATTCCAGGGTGGAATAAGCATAGATAGAACTGCTGATTACTGAAGACGAATGCGGACTTTACTTGCCGGTTGTAACGCTCGTTGTTAACAAAAAAATAATGGCAATTTAGTCATGCTCTTTCGATACGCTAGATATGCCGGGAAGAAAGTGACTGAATTGAAGCCTCGACTACATACGTGCATTGAATGGTTGAGTCTATGCAAGAACGCGTCAAAGAGTAGTTAAATAGCGAGTTTTTGAGCAAAAACGCGCTTTTGTGGATGGTGTATGAGAAGCGTGAAAATCAGCATAAAAGCAGGAGTCGTGCCACAAGACTATTACTGGCCACTTCGCTGTTTTACCTCAACTTTTGAACGAGGAGAAGTACCGTGTTTTGACCCAAAACAATTGCCGGGTAAAGTGATCTTTTAGCAGGCTTCAGCTGCTTATCCCCAAACAGTTGTGTTTTAGACGCTTGATCCCGGTGAGAATTGAACTTAAATTTATGCACTACAGAATGTTACGTGAAGGGGAACTGAAGATATATAAAACTCGTTTATTAAATATTGACCAGCATCCATTTGGCTTCATTCGCAGAACAATTCAAGGTTCGAGTCCCGTTCAAAGGTGAATTCCTTTTTCAAGCTCTTTTTCTACAACTGCTTTAATCTTCCTTCTATTCTTTCAGGAAACAACGGGAACAATTCTTCCATTTGGTCGAGCAAATCATTTTTGTATTCGATGGGAGCTTTCGGCGCATTAGCTTTTATACTTTTTGTTTGCCATTGCATAAAACTAATGGAGGAAGCCGAAGAAAATGATAACATAAACGCCAACACAACACAAAGAACTGTCAATACGGATAGGATTCCAAGGGAAACAGACATCCAATTAAATGGACAGGTGGATAGGATAGAAATGAACTCAGTGAACGAGCCATGGCAACATGAAGAAGCGTTTGATCAAATTTATGATCCCACCGCAGATAGTGCCCCTCAATCGTACATTGAAGTCGAAGATGAGACAGTAGCACCTCCGCCAAGTTATGAAGAAGTAATGAGAGCTTCACAGGAGGCTCTTCATTCAAGAACACCGTCACATCATCACCATGTCACCACGTATATTTAAATTTTAAATTTTAAATTAAAGAAGGGTCTCGGTCAGCGGAAACAAGCGAAAAAGCGGGCGGGTGATCATGCAGCCGTTTCCCTGACAACCCCAATCGCTGTTTCTTGTTTTCTCCGCTCTGTCACTGGTTTTAACCTACCGAGGGCCTGGAGAAGGAGGCCGTAAGGGGTTTTGCTGAGATATTTTGTACCTCTGGTGCAACTGTAAATAACGCAAGCAAATAACTTGGCGGTAGTTTAATTTGTCTTACATCCATTTGTCACGGAAATAGTGGGTTTTAATTTTCCGTATATAATGCACTATTCAAAGGAAACTGTTTACATGTGTACCATGAGACTTCTTTGAAAAGAGGAGGTTATCCTAAATTATTATAAACAACTTTTGAATTTCAAGAAGCCAAAAGTTTTTGTCTGTGAAGACCGGAAGTATTTCCTTTGAAGAGGGACAATTAGAGAGCATATTTTACCGAGTGTAGTTTTTGATACTTTTATTAAGATTATATTCATGCATCTGTGAATCTCTAAAGGATGCAAGCTTCACATTTCGCTAATGCAAACAGTTGTCATGAAATCTTGTTTCCACTGATTTTCCATGTGGCTTTCCCTTTCGCGTTGCCTTTGCTTAGGGAAAAAGAAAACCCTCCGACCTGTTTCTGTGAGCGTATGACCCGTGTTAGAAACTGAAACGTAGGTCAGTGGGCAGTTGTCTTCTGTACCCTCAAATAGGCCTTTGCAAAATACCCCTTTTAATCTAGAAATAACTCAATTGGAATCAATATATTACACCCAGCGTCCGGGATTTTCCCTCCTTGCTCCCTTATTTTATATACATATGAAGGAACCTACCTAAATACCTTATGAGAATGGAAAGGAAAGTTCTACTTATTGCCAGGTTCTGTTCTGTTTTTGCTTGAGCGTCAAAGGTATTCCAGTCTGTAAATATTCTCAACTTGAAATGCTGAAGTACATTTCTTTGCTCGGTGGATGAAAATCAATCCAAAATGCCACCGAAATTGATATCAGCAATTCTGAAAACCAATATTGCAGATTTGCATCAGCTAAGATCCGACCAGATATTAAGCCAGACATTAAGACATTAAGACATTAAGACAGATATTAAGCCAAAAATATTGCCGCGTTAACTGAATACTACCAGCCTGACTGACGAGAAACAGTTCAATTTGGCCGTAAGGATACACTGACTGACAACCTACCGAGTTTTAAACGACAATGGAAACCAAACTTCTAGTCTGGTGGATTCTACACTGTTTTATGCTTCATGATGCGACCTCAGCTTGTAAATATGACAGCAACTGTCATGGTGAGTAGCTTTGAGTCTTTTTCCTGTAATTACAGATTGTGAGGCCTTGATGTGCCCGCATCTGTACTTCTTGCCCAATCGTTAGCATCAAATCAACGATTGCTATCAAAGAAAAACGAGCAACACTTTCAAAGATTATGCGGCGCGTAATTATTGTGCGGCATGTCAAGGAAACAAATGAAAACCGCGTAGTACATATCTCTGAGCTTCCATTTGGACTACTTTACACACTCGAATCCCGTCCAAGTCTGTATATCTTTTTTTTATTCCCAGGTTTCAGTTTCACGGCTACTTTAAAAAAGTCGTGTATGTAGTGTCTGTATCTGGAATCATCTTTCCTTTATCACAGACTGAACATATATATATAACTAACTGCAGACAGTACTGTTTCGGCCTTCTGGGCCTCATCAGTGCAGTGCTAATGCTAGGATGGAGGAGAACCAATATGGTCACCCCAAACGATCCAACCTTTGTGGTATCGTCTAAGCCATGCCAGAGTGCTCAAACTAGAGTACACTAGCGAGCATGCGCAATTGCAGAGCAATGACTCATCCTAGTTAGAGTGCTCAATTTGGACATGAAAGCAAAGCTTTGTATGCCAAAGAGCTATATCTAACTGCAGACAGTACTGTTTCGGCCTTCTGGGCCTCATCAGTGCAGTGCTAATGCTAGGATGGAGGAGAACCAATATGGTCACCCCAAACGATCCAACCTTTGTGGTATCGTCTAAGCCATGCCAGAGTGCTCAAACTAGAGTACACTAGCGAGCATGCGCAATTGCAGAGCAATGACTCATCCTAGTTAGAGTGCTCAATTTGGACATGAAAGCAAAGCTTTGTATGCCAAAGAGCTATATCTAACTGCAGACAGTACTGTTTCGGCCTTCTGGGCCTCATCAGTGCAGTGCTAATGCTAGGATGGAGGAGAACCAATATGGTCACCCCAAACGATCCAACCTTTGTGGTATCGTCTAAGCCATGCCAGAGTGCTCAAACTAGAGTACACTAGCGAGCATGCGCAATTGCAGAGCAATGACTCATCCTAGTTAGAGTGCTCAATTTGGACATGAAAGCAAAGCTTTGTATGCCAAAGAGCTATATCTAACTGCAGACAGTACTGTTTCGGCCTTCTGGGCCTCATCAGTGCAGTGCTAATGCTAGGATGGAGGAGAACCAATATGGTCACCCCAAACGATCCAACCTTTGTGGTATCGTCTAAGCCATGCCAGAGTGCTCAAACTAGAGTACACTAGCGAGCATGCGCAATTGCAGAGCAATGACTCATCCTAGTTAGAGTGCTCAATTTGGACATGAAAGCAAAGCTTTGTATGCCAAAGAGCTATATCTAACTGCAGACAGTACTGTTTCGGCCTTCTGGGCCTCATCAGTGCAGTGCTAATGCTAGGATGGAGGAGAACCAATATGGTCACCCCAAACGATCCAACCTTTGTGGTATCGTCTAAGCCATGCCAGAGTGCTCAAACTAGA